ATGGAGATTGTCTGTTGCTTTCTTTGCTGGCAGTCTCTCCCCCACTTGGAAACCTTCCTTTGCTGGGAAGTCCATGGCTCCTTCAGGCCTCAGATTGTCAACCAATTTGGATGGTTGAGATCTTTTCACAGGTGTGTATCCTTCCTTCTCTGGGAACTCCATTTTTCCTTCAGGAACAAGGTTGTCTCCATATGCCACAGGTTTAGCCTTTTCTCCAGGAATGTATTGTCCTTTCTCTGGGAACTCAAAGGAACCTTCTGGTTTGAGCTGATCTTGCATTTTAGTGGGTTTAGCCCTTTGAACAGGTTGATAGGTGTCTTTTTGGGGAAACTCCATTTGTCCTTCTGGTCTGAGATTGTCAGGGTGTTCTGCCTTTGGCATTCTCTCCCCAGGTGAATAAGATTCTTTGCTTGGATACAAGATTTTTCCACCTGTTTGCAAGTTATCAGCATGTTTGACTGGTTGTGCTTTTTCACCAGGAGTAAATCCCTGCTTTTGTGGATAAAAGTGCTGTCCCTCTGCATGAAGGTTATCCTCCTGTTTCTTCACATGTGCTCTTTCTGCAGCTTGGAAGACTTCTTTAGATGGAAAGTCAATGCTACCTTCTGGCTTCAGGTTGTCTCTGAATTTGGCTGCTTGTGGCCTTGGCACTGACTTGTAGTCCTGTTTTGATGGGAACTCCATGTTGCCTTCTGGTGTCAAATGGTCACCATGGGTAACAGGTTTAGCTTTTTCTCCAGGAGTATACTCAGCCTTCTCTGGGAAGTCCATGGATCCCTCTGGTCTTAGATTATCACCAAGTTTCATTGCCTTTGGCCTCTGGGTGGGTGTGTACTCTTCTTTGCCAGGGAATTCCATTTGTCCCTCTGGTCTAAGGTTGTCAGGATGCTCCTTTCTAGATGCCCTTTCTCCTGGCTGGTACTTTTCTTTTGATGGATACAAAATCTTTCCTCCAGTTTGAAGATTGTCTGAATGTTTTACTGGCTGTGACTTTTGTCCTGGAGTGTAACCTTCTTTTTCAGGGTAGTAGTGGATTCCTTCTGTGTGGAGATTGTCAGCAGCTTTCTTGGGTTGGATTCTTTCTCCTGCAAATGTATCCAATACTTTTAAAATTAGATTTTCTCTGTTAAAAAATAAAAATGAGCTTACCTGGATGATATTGTTCTTTGGTTGGAAACTGGATTTCACCTTCTTGTTTCAGGTTGTCAAGAGTTTTAGTTGGCTGACGTCTTGGTACACCTTGATATGCTTCCTTTTGAGGAAATTCCATTCTCCCTTCAGAAATGATGTTGTCTCCATAGGCCACAGGAATGGCCTTTTCACCAGGAGTATAACTTCCTTTCTCAGGGAAATCAATGGTTCCTTCTGGTTTCAGATGGTCAATAGCTTTTGTGGGCCTTGATCTCTCTCCTGGGGTGTAGGTCTCTTTTCCAGGGAACAACATCTGCCCTTCTGGTCTGAGGTTGTCAGGATGTTCTGTCTTGGGCATGCGTTCCCCTGGGGCATATGATTCCTTGGATGGGTATAGGATTTTGCCTCCAGTTTGCAAGTTGTCAGGGTGCTTGACAGGCTGAGATCTTATGCCAGGAGTATATTGGTCTTGATCAGGGTAGTAGTGAACCCCTTCAGGATGCAAATTGTCTTGAGCTTTCTTTGCTGGAAGTCTCTGCCCAGGTGTATAGCTTGATTTTTCAGGAAAGTCCATTTCTCCTTCTGGCTTCAAGTTATCATGGAGTTTTGATGGCATGGATCTGGGTACAGGTTGATAGCCTTCTTTGGATGGAAACTCCATTTTTCCCCCTGTGGTAAGATTGTCTCCATGTGTGACAGGCTTGGCTTTTTGTCCAGGGGTATATTGAGCCTTCTCTGGAAATTCCATGGAGCCCTCTGGTCTTAAATTATCTTGTACCTTGGATTGTCTTGGTCTTTCCCCTGGTTGGTAACCTTCTTTTCCAGGAAATTCCATTTGTCCTTCAGGTCTCAAATTATCAGGGTGTTCAGTTCTTGGAGCTCTTTCACCTGGAGCATAAGATTCTTTGCTTGGATACAAGATCTTCCCACTGGTCTGTAAGTTGTCTGGATGTTTCACAGGCTGAGACCTCTGTCCAGGAGTGTATGCTTCCTTTTCTGGGTAGTAGTGAA